ATTTCATATGGGCAGTGCATCCGTGTGAGTGTCACGCTCAACAAACACAGAAACCCACTCGGCACCAGTACCTTTCTGGGACTCGTGGAGCTGCAGTTTCTCCTGGTGGTCCCATCCCAGAGCCGATTTGTCCTGTCTGTCAGTCTGCACACCGAATTTGCCCCCAAAGCCCTTCACGTAGTCTGCAGGGAAACATGACACAATGTTTAATGACAATAATCTTGTAATGCTACTTTAAAAAAAACAACACTGCACCATTTACAAGCTACAGCAGAGAAAGTGCTTTAGTCATTTCTATCAATGTGACACTAGTTGTTTGACAAACTTTATATTTAAACATTATTTAACGTTTACTCATTCAAGCCTAACAGCTGAGGCAGCTGCATGTTGCACATCATTCGTTCCAAACAGGAATTCCAGTGAGCGGTGTTAAACTCTGTCTGCTGCCCACCTATTCCAACAATGACGCTTTAAAATGCCCGACTGATTTATTCCCAAACGTAGGTTACAAACACAGTCGGGGCATTGTGGAGGTCGTTATGCATTCGATACGAGTCTTATCTGCTGTCGGCCAATGAGGCGTGACGAGCAAGCAGCTACACACAGCTGCTGTGCTGAAGCTGCAAAATTACAGACAAGTCAGGACAGACATGAGGGTGTGACCTGCTGAGACCCTCTGGACACAAAGCTGCTAATAACACATCAGCAGCGCGAGTTTAGCAGCACGAGCTGAAAGCAAACAAAAGCTGTTTACTCTGTCGCTCGTCCTTTCACGGTGACAAGGAATCAAAGTAGTGAAAACAAGGTCACTGCACACAACAACAACAAACAGTATTTGTGATTCTTTTATAATAACAAAACTCATATTATTAACCCTTCAAACTTGTCACAAATGATATAATAAATAATTAAAATCAGTGACAGTAACTCCCCTGTGTGAAGAATCAGCTCTGCATGATGTCACCATCTGTGCGTCACCGTTCTGACCCCAAAATTCAAATTAATGACTTTTTTTTTCAGCCAAAATTACAGAACAAGTTTGAGGCCTGTGTGACTGTTGGGTTAAACGTTTGTTTGTGACCAACACCACTTGTGACAATAAAATAATCTGCCATCACAGTTTGTTTGCACGCGCTTCAGCCGTGATCAAAATAAGAGCGTAAAATGTTCACAGCGAGTGCCGACTGCTGTTACCTTTCTGGGATTCGTGCCTCTCCGTTTTGCCTTGATACTCGAAGCCCACGGCACTCTTGTCCACCTTGTCCATCTCAACGCCAAACTTGCCTCCAAAGCCCTTGGCATAATCTGCCAACGG